TTTCATTTTGTTAATGGTTTCCTTTGCTGTACAGAAACTTTTCAGAGTCAAAAAGTCCCATTTTTTATTTTTTTCCTGAGCATGTAAAAAATACTGCTACAAGAAATATTCAAGATTTTATTGCTAATGTTTTCTTGTAGGATATTTATAGTTTTGAGTCTAATATTTAAGTCTTTAATCCATTTTAAGTGTATTCTTGTATATGGTGTAAGAAGGTGATCTAGTTTCATTGTTTTGCACATATCTGTCCAACATTCCGTCACCAATTATTAAATAGACTATCTTTACCTCATTGTATGTTTTTGCTTCCTTTGTCAAATATTAATTGATTATAAAGGTTTGGGTTTATTTTTAGGCTTTTTATTCTGTTCCATTGATCTATATGTCTCTCTTTACATCACTACCATGTTGTTTTGAATACTAGGGACTAACCGTATACTTTGGTATCTGGTAGTATGATTCCTCCAAAACTTTGTTATTTCTCAAGATATATTTTGCTGTTTGTGGTCTTTTGTGATTCCATAGAAATTTCTGGGATATTTGTTCTTCTATGTTATTAGTATCTTGATAGGAATTGCACTGAATCTATAGATTTCTTTGGGTAGTATGAACATTTTAATAATGTTACCATATTTGCTATTGCACCCATGTTTTTGGCCAAAACTTTCAGGAAAAAGTCTTTCATTTTACAGTATATAGATACAGAATTAGTACTACCCACATATAATGCACATCCTTATTTTTCCCTAAAACTCTTGGACAAAAAAAGTGTACATTATACATGGAAAAATATGGTAAATCTTCCTACCCTTGAACATAGTAGTATATGCCTCTACTCATTTGTATCTTCTTCAATTTCTTTCTTCAGTGTCATAATTTTCTGATTATAAATATTTTTGTCCTTATTCTTAAGAATTTTATTCTTTCTGAAGCAACTGTGAATGGGGTTGTTTTAGCTTCCCTTTCTGATAGTTCATTATTTGAAAAAATAAGTAAATTTTTAAAAAAAGGAAAAAGAAAACAACAAAAAATATACAACCAATATCTGAATATTTATTTTTGCATCCTGCTATTTTACTGAATTTGTTTATTGTTTCTAGCAGTTTGTTACCCATTCAGGCACTGTATGGCTTTTTTTATTGTTGTACACTTGTCTCCATTTTACTCCCACCGTACCCCACGGGCCCCACCCGACCCCACCCGGCCCCACCGTCCACCCTTGATACTTCCCCCTTTGGCTTTGTACATGTGTTCCTTTTTTTTAATTTATTTTTTTATTGTTGTTCAAGTACAGTTGTCACTGTTTCCCCACCACAATTTTCCCCTGCCTCATCCACCTCCACCTCTCCCCAAATCCTTCCCCACTTTGGCTTTGTCCATGGGTCCTTTATATATGTTCTTTTATTTGACCCATCCCCTTCTTTTTCCCTGTTACTCCTATCCAGCCACCCTTCTACTCACTGTAGTTTGTTTCTTATTTCAATGTTGCCGGTCATATTTTTCTTGATTGTTTGTTTCGTTGATTAGCTTCTACTTATAGCTGAGATAATATAGTATTTGTCTTTCACTCTCTGGCTTATGTTGCTTAGCATAATGCTCTCCAGTTCCATTCTTGCTGTTGCAAAGGGTAATACCTATCTCTTTCTTTCTGCTGCATAGTATTCCATTGTGTAAATGTACCAGTTTTTTGATCCACTCATTTATTCTTGGACACTTAGGTTGTTTCGAATACTTGGCTATTGTAAATTGTACTGCTATGAACATTGGGGTGAATAGGTTTTTTTGAATTGATGTTTCGGGATTCTTAGGGTATAATGCAGTTCCAGTTTTAGTTTTTTGAGGAAATTCCAAACTGTTTTCCACAGTGGCTACTCCAGTCTGCATCCCCACTAACAATGTACTAGGGTTCCCTTTTCTCTGAAACCTTGCTAGCACTTGATGTTTGCTGATTTGTTTATGATGGCCATTCTGACCAGTGTGAAGTGGTATCTCATTGTGGTTTTAATTTGCATCTCTCTGATGGCTAGTGATGCTGAGCATCCTTTCATATGTATCTGGGTTCTGTGTATGTCCTACTTGGAGAAGTGTCTGTTCAGGTGCTTTGCCCATTTTTTAATTGGATTGTTTGACTCCCTAGAGTGGAGTCATGTAAGTTCTTTATATGTTTTGAAGATCAAACCCTTATCCAAGGTATCATTGGAAAATATATTTTCCCATACAGTTGGTTCCCTTTTCATTTTCCTGATGTTTTCTTTAGCTGGGCAGAAGTTTCTTGTTTTGATGAAGCCCCATTTGTTTATGCTTACTTTTATATCTCTTGCTCTAGGGGACATGTCAGTGAAAATACTGTTGCATGGGCTATCTGAAATTTTCCTGTTTTCCTCTAGGACTTTTATGGTGTCACAACTTATATTTGTCCTTTATCCATCATGAGTTTATTTTTGTGTATGGTGTATGTTGGTGGTTGAGTTTCTTTTTTTTGCATGTACCTGTCCAGATCTCTCAATACTATTTGTTGAAGAGGCTATTCTTACCCCATTTCATACTTCTGCCCCCTTTGTCAAACATTAACTGACCATAGAACATGGGTTTATTTCTGGGCTCTCTATTCTGTTCCATTGATCTATGTGTCTGTTCTTATGCCCGTAAGAGACTGTTTTGATTACAGTGGCCTTGTACTAGAGTTCAATGTCAGGTATTGTGATCCTTCCCACTTTGTCCTTCTTTCAAAAAATTGTTGCAGCTAATCGGGGTCATTTATGGTTCCATATAAATTTTTGAAATGTTGGTCCTATATTTGTGAAATATGTTGTAATTTAATAGGGGTCATGCTGACTCTATAAATTTCTTTGGATTGTAGACACTTTGATGATGTTAATTCTTCCAATCCATGAACATGGTATATGCTTCCATTTATTTGTGTCTTCATTAGTTTCTTCAGTGTTGTGTAGTTTTCTGAGGACAGGTCTTTTACCTCCTTGGTTAAGTTTATTCCTAGGTACTTTACTTTTCTTGTTGCTATAGCAAAGGGGAATTTTTCCTGATTTCTGATTCTGATATTTCATTTTCTGAGTACAAAAACACCTTCAATTTCTGAATATTTACTTTGTATCCTGCTATTTTGCAAAATTCACTTATTAGGTGGAGTAGTTTTTTGGAGGAGTCTATGGGGTTTTCTATGAACACTATCATGACATCTTCAAACAATGACAGCTTTACTTCCTCATTTCAAATTTAGATGCCCTTTACTTATTTTTTTTTTCTTTGTCTCACTGTTGTGGGAAGGACTTCCAATCCTATGTTGAGTAGAAGTAGTGAAAGCAGACAGCCTTGTCTTGTTACTGATCTTAGTGGGAAAGATTTTAGTTTTTGCCCATTGAATATCAGGTTGGCTGTAGGTTTTTCACATATGGCCTTTATTATGTGAGGTATATCCCCTTTATTCCCACTTTGCTGAGTGTTTTTATCCCAAATGGATGCTATACCTTTTCAGATGCTTTTACTACATATATTGATATGATCATGTGATTTTTGTATTTCCTTTTGTTTATGTTATGTATTGCATTTATTGATTTGTGAATATTGAGCCATCCTTACATTCCTAGGATGAATCTTCCTTGATTGTGGTGGATGCACTTTTTAATGAATTGCTGGATGTAGTTTGTCAAATATTTTGTTGAGGATTTTAGCATCTATGTTTATCAGTGATATTGGCCTGTAGTTTACTTTCACTGTTGAGTCTTAATCTGGTTTTGGGATTAGGATGATGGTGGCCTCATCAAAAAAGTTTGGGAGTCTTCCCCCTTCTTGGATTTTTTTGGAATAATCTGAAAAGGACATGAGTTAGCTCCCCCTTAAATGTTTTGTAAAATTATCCTGTGAAACTGTCCAATCCAAGGCTTTTGTGTGCCTGGAGTTTTTTGATTACTGCTTCAGTTTCACCAGCTGTTATTGGTCTGTTCAGACTTTCTGCTTCTTCTTCATTCACTGTTAGAAGGTTATATGTTTCTAGAAATTTGTACATTTCACCCGTTTTCAAATTTCTTGCCATATACTTATTCATCATAATTTCTTACAATCCTTTGTATTTCTGTGGTATCAGTTGTAATTTCTCCTCTTTCGTTTCTGCTGTTATTAATTTGGGTCCTCTCCCTCTTTTTCTTGATGAGTCTGCTTACAGGCTTATTGATTTTGTTTATCTTTTCAAAGAAACAACTCCTAGATTTGTTGATCCTTTGAATATTTCTTTTAGTCTCTAAGTCATTCAATTCTGCTCTGATTTTGATTATTTCCTTCCTTGTACTCACTCTGGGCTTTGTTTGTTGTTGTTTCTCCACTTCTTAAGATGTAGGGTTATGTAGTTTATTTGAAATGTTTCGATCTTTTTTAGGTAGCCTGTATTGCTATGAACCTCCTTCTCAGGACTGCTTTCACTGTGTCCCATAGGTTTTGGACTGTTGTGTGCTCATTTTCATTTGTTTCCAGAAACTTTTTGATTTCTTCTCTTACCTCATTATTGACCTCTTCATTGTTTCATAGCTTGCTATTCAGCCTGTATTGAGTTTGAATATTTTGAGATTTTCCTTGAGGGTGGTTTCTAGTTTCAGGTCATTGTGGTTCAAGAAAATGCTTGTTATGATTTCAGTTTTCTTGAATTTGTTGAGGCTTGTTTTGTGTCCTATCATGTGGTCTGCTTTTGAAAATCTTCCATGTGCATTTGAAAAGGATGTATACGTTGCCTCTTTGGGATGAAAGGCTCCGTATATGGTAGTTAAGTCCATTTGATCTAATGCATCATTCAGTTCCATAATATCCTTGTTGATATTTTGTGTGGAAGATCTATCCATGTTTTGCTTTTTTTAATTTAATTTTAATTTATTTTTTCAAATACATTTCTCTCTACCTACCCCCCACCAATTTCACTTGCCCCCTCCCTTCTTCCCTCTCTCAGGTCTTCACCTTTGGTTTTGTCCATGAGTCCTTGCTATATGTTCCTTGACTTTCCCCTTGCTTTCCTTTTCCCCTGCTCCCCCTCCCTTCTTCCCTCTTGTCTCTGTTGGATTCGTTTCCTTTCAATGTTGCTGGTCTTATTTTCCTTGCATCTTCGTATTGTTGGTTAGGATCCACTTATAGGTGAGACCATATGCTATTTGTCTTTTGCCCCCTGGCGTATTTCGCTTAGTATAATGCTCTCCATTCCATCCATTAAGTCTCGAAGTTTTGTAGTTCTTTTTTTCTTTCTATTGTGTAGTATTCCATTGTGTAAAGGTACCATAATTTTTGGATCCAATGATCTACTGATGGGCATTTAGGATGCTTCCAACACTTGGCTATTGTAAATTGTGCTATTATGAACACTGCGGTGCATTGCTTCTTTTGTATTGGTGTTTCGGTATTCGTAGGGTGTAGTCCCAGCAGGGGAATCACTGGATCAAAAGGCACTTCCATTTTCAGCTTTTTGAGGACATTCCACACTGCTTTCCACAATGGATGCACCAGTCTGCATTCCCACCAACAGTGTACTAGCGTTCCCTTTTCTCCACAGCCTCGTCAGAACCTGTTGTTTGTCGATCTGTTTGTGATGGCCATTCTGACCGGTGTGAGGTGATACCTCATGGTGGTTTTGATCTGCATTTCCCTGATGGCTAGTAATGCTGAGCATCCTTTCAAATGCCTCTGGGCCCTCTGTATCTCCTCCTTGGAAAAGCATCGGCCCAGTCCTTTGCCCATTTTTGGATTGGATCATTTGTCTTCTTGGAGTGGAGTCGTGTGAGTTCTTTATATATCTTGGAGATCAAACCTCTATCTGATGTATCATTAGCGAATAAATTTTCCCATACCATTGGCTCCCTTTTTATTTTGCTGATGTTTTCTTTTGCCATGCAGAAGCTTCTTATTTTGATGAGGTCCCACTTGTTGATTCTTTCCTTTATGTCCCTTCCTTTAGGAAACATATCAGTGAAAAAATTGCTGCTTGGGATATCTGAGAGTTTCCTGCCAATGTTCTCCTCTAGGACTTTGATGGTGTTGCGACTTCTACTTAAGTCTTTTATCCATCTTGAGTTTATTTTTGTGTATGGTGTCAGCTAATGATCCAATTTCAATTTTGCATGTAGCCGTCCAGATCTTCCAACACCATTTGTTGATGAGCCTATTATTGCTCCAATTTATGCTTCTGCACCCTTTGTCAAATATTAGATGCCCATAGAGACCTGGGCTTATTTCTGGGCTTTCTATTCTGTTCCACTGGCCTATGGGTCTGTCCTTGTGCCAGTACCAGATTGTTCTGAGTATAGTGGATTTGTAGTAGAGTTTGATGTCCGGTATTGTGATCCCTCCAACCTTGTTTTTCTCTCTCAAAATTGCTGAGGGTATTCGGGGTCGTTTATGGTTCCATATAAATTTTTGAAATGTCTGTTCTATTTCTGTGAAATATGTCATTGGTATCTTAATAGGGATTGTGTTGAATCTATAAATTGCTTTGGGTAGTATGGACATTTTGAGGATATTAATTCTTCCAATCCGTGAGCATGGTATATGCTTCCATTTATTTGTGTGTTCCTTAATTTCTTTCTTCAATGTTGTATAGTTTTCTGCATACAGGTCTTTTACCTCTTTGGTTAAATTTATGCCGAGGTACTTATTTTTCTTCTTGCTATATTGAATGGTTTTTTTTTTTTCTGACTTCTTCTATTGCATTGGTGGTGTACAAAAATGCCTTTGATTTCTGAATGTTGACTTCGTATCCTGCTGTTTTGCCAAATTCACTTATTAGGTTGAGGAGTTTTTTGGTAGAGTTTACAGGGTTTTCTATGTACACTATCATGTCATCTGCAAACAATGGTAGTTTTACTTCCTCCTTTCCTATTTGGATGCCTTCCTCTCTTTCTCTTGTCTGACTGCTGTGGCTAGGACTTCCAATACGATGTTGAAAAGAAGCGGTGAGAGCGGACATCCTTGTCGTGTTCCCGATCTTAGTGGGAAAGCTTTCAGTTTTTACCTGTTGAGTATGATATTGGCTGTAGGTTTTTCATATATGGCCCATATTACGTTGAGGAATGTCCCATTTATTCCCATTTTGGTGAGTGTTTTGATCATAAATGGGTGCTGTACCTTATCGAATGCTTTCTCTGCGTCGATCGAGATGATCATGTGGTTTTTGTCTTTTCTTTTTTATGTGATGTATCACGTTTACTGATTTGCGTATATTGAACCATCCCTGCATGCCTGGGATGAATCCTACTTGGTCGTGGCGGATAATCTTTTTAATGTATGGCTGGATGCAGTTTTCCAATATGTTGTTGAGGATTTTAGCATCTATGTTTATCAGCGAAATTGGCCTGCAGTTTTCTTTCTTTGAAGGGACTTTATCTGGTTTTGGGATCAGGGTGATGCTGGCCTCATAGAAAGAGTCTGGGAGTCTTCCTTTCTCTTTGGTTTTTGGAGTAGTCTGAGAAGGACAGGAGTTAGCTCTTCCTTAAATGTTTTGTAAAATTCTCCTATGAAACCATCCGGCCCGGCGCTTTTGTGTGCCCGGAGTTTTTTTTTTGTTTGTTTGTTTCTTGTTGTTTTTTTAATGCAACAGAAAAGATGTTTTATTTTTGTATTATAAATACACTTTCAGTACTGAAGTCCAAAGCATGTTATTTTTTTAGTTAACAACTGCTTCAACTTCCCCAGCTGTTATCGGTCTGTTCAAGCTTTCTTTTTCTTCCTCCTTCAGTGTTGGAATATTATAATTTTTAAAAAATTTATCCATTTAATCAAGGATTTCAAATTTCTTGGCATATAATTGTTCATAGTAGTTTCTGATGATCCTTTGTATTTCTGTGGTATCGGTTGTTATTTCTCCTCTTTCATTTCTGATATTATTAATTTGGGTCCTCTCCCTTTTTTCTTCATGAGTGTGCTTAAAGGCTTGTCAACTTTATTTATCTTTTGAAAGAACCAGCTTCTGGATTCATTGATCCCCTGAATTGTTCTTTTCATCTCTACGTCATTCAGTTCTGCTCTATTCTTGACTATTTCCTTCCTTCTACTTGCTTTGGATTTATTTGTTGTTGTTTCTCCAGTTCTTGAAGTTGTAGTGTTAGGTCTTTTATGTTAAATGTTTCTATCTTTTTTAGGTAAGCCTGTATTGCTATGAACTTCCCTCTCAGGACCGCCTTTGCTGTGTCCCATAGGTTTTGGACTGTTCTCTGTTCATTTTAATTTTTTCCAGAAATTTTTTCATTTCTTCTCTTATCTCATTATTGACCCATTCATTGTTTAATAGTGTACTGTTCAGTCTCCATGAGTTTGTAAGTTTTTGAAGTTTCTCTTTGAGGTTGATTTCCAGTTTCAATACCTTGTGGTCTGAGAAAAGGTTTTGTATTATTTACATTTTCCTGAATTTGCTGAGGTTGGCTTTGTGTCCTATCATGTGGTCTATCTTTGAAAAGCTGCCATGAGCATTTGAAAAGAATGTGTATTTTTCTTCTTTGGGATGTAAGTTTCTATATATGTCAGTTAAGTCTCTTTGATTCAGTGTGTGTTTCAGCACCACAATATGTTTATTAATGTTTTGTTTGGAAGATCTGTCCATTTTTGACAGTGGGGTGTTGAAATCCCCTACTATCAGTGTGTTGCTGTGTATATCTTTTTTGAAGTCATCCAACAACTTCCTTATAAACTTGGGGGCTCCTATATTGGGAGCATATAAGTTTACAATGTTGATGTCTTCTTGATAGATTCTTCCCTTCAGTATTGTAAAACGCACCTCTGGGTCCTTTTTATGGCCTTTGTTTTGAAATCTACTTTGCCTGATACAAGTATGGCACCCGTGGCCTTTTTCTTTTGCGCATTTGCTTGGAATATTTTTTTCCATCCCTTTACTTTCAATCTGTGTAGGTCTCTTGCTCTGAGGTGGGTCTCTGGTAGGCAGCATATGTGTGGGTCATGTTTTCTAATCCATTCAGCTACCCTGTGTCTTCTGATTGGGGCATTTAGTACATTGACATTGAGAGATATTACTGATAGAAACTTACTCATCTTTTCTCTTTGTACCTGTGTTCCTCTCTCTCTCATTCTTTTCCTTCATCTGCTTAAACCAGTTCCCTTAGCATATCTAGAGTGCTGGTTTGGTAGAGATGTATACTTTTAGCCTTCTCTTGTCTGGGAAACTCTGTATTTCCCCTTCTATTTTAATGGAGAGCCTAGCTGGGTAGAGCAGCCTTGGTTGTAGGCCCTTGCTTTTCATGACTGGAGTATTTGTTACCATTCCCTTCCGGCTTGTAGTGTTGTTGTTGAGAAGTCAGCTCCTAGGTGTATCGGAGCCCCCGTGTATGTAACTTTCTCCTTTTCCCTTGCTGCCTTGAGGATTCTCTCTTTGTCTTTGATAGTTGCCATTTTAATGATGATGTGTCTTGGAGTGGACCTCTTTGAATCCCTCTTGAGTGGGGTCCTCTGTGGCTTCTGGATCCATGAGAGCCTTTCTCTTCTCAAATTAGGGAAATTTTCCATGATTACTTTTTTGAGGAGGTTCTCTATCCCTTGCTCCTCTTCTTCTCCTTCTGGTATCCCTATTATGCGTATATTATTGCGCTTCAGGTTGTCCTGCATTTCCCTAAATGCCTCTTCATTCATTTTGAGTCTTTTTTCCATTTCTTGTTCTTTCTGGGAGCTTCTTTCAATGTTATCCTCCATGTCACTGACTCGATCCTTGGCTTCATCCAGCCTGCTTTGGATTCCTTATACTGTGTTCTTCAATTCAGAAATGGCATTCTTCATATCCTCTTATGTCTTCTTGATAGTTTCTACATCCTTTTTCAGAGTGATATAGTTTGCTGTAAGATCCTGATAGTTTCTATACAGTTTCTCATAGTTGTCTTTGAGCTGGCTGAGCTCATTGAGCTTCCTTAGAACCATTGTTTTGAATTCAATATATGATAGTTCCCTTGCCTCTATTTCATTTAACTCTCTCTGTGCGGAGTCCCCTTTTCCACTCATTTGGGAAGAACTTCTTTTTCTTCCCATTTCTGTGAGACTGTGTTAAGTATTTTTGTCCTTTACTTTTCTTTCTGGGCCTGCC